ATTGCCATTCTTCCCTCCTATGCAGTTGTGTCCTTGGACCAATTTTCTAACTGCAAAAGAAAGTGTCTAATGAGTTCCTAACAGTCTGAAAGGAGGGGCTGTATTGATGCTGCTTAGGGACATTGAGAAGACGTTCCAGCCGGAAGATTGTGGCAATGGCAAGCTTTCGTATCAACATAAGGAAGTTGAGTTTCTCTTCAAAGAAAGATGCTAAGAGGATGGAAAAGCCAAGTTGGAAACTATCATACCCCCTTCTCTCGCCCCATCTTAATCTGCTGTAGGTTAGAAATCCTGAGCAAAGCCTACGAGTCTTACTCTTTCCCAGCCCCCAAGCTATGCTGTGTGTCCCCTGTGGCATCCCTCTTCCTGCTCCCTTGGGGCCTGTGGCCCTCATTCAACTTGCAGCTCTACAGGCCTCCTGAGTGTGGCCCCCGAGATGACTGAACAATTGGTTAAAAGCTTAAAACTAACCTTGCCCTGGCCAGGTGACTAAGTTAATTGGAGCGTAGTCCTATACACCAAATGTTTGCGGTTCAGTCCCAGTTCTGAGTGTGTCTGGGAGGCAATTGATATTTCGTTGTCACATTGATGATGTCTCTCCCCCCCGCCACCCTTCCTCTCTCTAAAAAAAATCAAACATATCCTGGGGAGAATATTAGAAAACACACACACAAAAACTAACCTTTGCAATAGCATCCTCTGCAATCAACTGTATTTTTTATCTACACTCTTCTTATAGCAGACAAAGGCAGGTGGCAAGAAAACAAGCCAATGTGAGAAATGTCAAAAAAGGAAAACCCTCATTAGGAGAGGAGCGTGGCAGGGAGGGGAAGAGCTGACCGCCCCAGACCAGCATAAGGACAGAATGGAGGGTTAGGCCCCGAGGCTCCTGGTGGATCTTGGGCAGAGCTGAGCCTCCGGTGTGAGCTTATGAGTTCTCTGTACTAAGGCAAGGAAGGGCCTCAGATAGTTTGGAATGATTTTAGGCAGGAAGGATTTTCTGCCTTGGTTCCTTCTTCCCTCCCTTTATACTGTTTCTGCTCCTTCAGTCTTTTCCTCAGTATTTTGTACCAGGGTTATTAGCAAAACAAAACGCCACCCCTTTCACAAATCACATTCTGCTGGTCATGACCAAAGCTTAGTAGGTGAACATTGCTCTCCTAAAATGGTTCAGATGCCCTGTTGTCCTCTCTGAGGTCCTCTGCAGGCTCAGCATTGCTGGAGAATGCAGTTGCTGCTGCTGTTGATGCAAGACATTGATGGTAGTCCTGATGGTAGTTCTCAGTTCTGTGTTCTGACATTCCTCAGAGCTGTGGAGCCCAAGACATACAGGGAGGGATGGAAATCTTATGTAGGTGCTGATGACTCCATGAATTTTGTTGTTGTTGTTAATCCTCACCCCAGGATATTTTCCCATTGATTTTTAGAGAGAGTGGAAGGGAGGAGAGAGACAGAGAGAGAAACATCCATGTGAGAGAGACACATAATTGGTTGCATCCCACACAAGCCCCGTCTTGCGCCAGGGATTGAGCCCGAACCAAGGTACATACCCTTTGACCAGAATCAAACCCAGGACCCTTCAGTCTGTGGGCTGGTGCTCTATCCACTGAGCCAAAAGAGCTAGGGTGACTCCATTAATTTTATTGAAGGGCATTGAGTCGTTCTAACCAAAGCCTTCTACTACTGCCCAGAGAGTCATTGGTAAAAGTCTTTGATTTCATTCCCTTCTCTGTGGAGAACTTTGCTGTCAGACTCTGCAGGTTTAATTAACAAATTAACTTTTGAATGGCTCGAGTCTTTTTTTTCCTTTTCTTGGTAGAACACCAGGCTGGACTATTAACTTCTCAGGGGGCAAATCTGTGAAGTGGTATGTGGAGGACACAGAGCAGCTTTGTGTAGGGGATGAATGAATATACAAGAGCTGCTTGCTGCAAATCCTTGGGAGTTTCAAAAGTGCTGATATTTATAGTTTTGTTTGTTGACTTGTGTAAGTATAGCCCTCTAACTATGAATCCATGGAAGCAAATCTGGGTACTTTACTTGGTAGAATCATCACTAAGAGATTTGCATGGTGCTCAATTGATACTTTTGCCCCGTGATCACCTACTATGTACTAGGCACTGAGCAGGTCAAGAGGGATGGGATTCCTGACATATAAAAGCTTTGTGACCTCCCATCAAAGACGTGGGTGCGGTCTCAGATAGTTTAGGGTGATTTTTACATAGGAAGGAATTTCTGCCTTGCATTCATAGAAGACTCTCTTGAAAGGCTACTAAGAAAATTAAATATAAACATGTGCCATGTAGTTTTATAACATTTGTTACTATACCATAGTTCTTTGGACATGAGGCCACTATGGATTTCAGTGTGTAGGAGAGGCTTCACGGAGAAGGTGACCTTGATCTGGGCCTAAACAGACCACTGGCAGTCACTGAGGTAGGCACATCCGGAAGCCACCCCTGCCAGAGTGGGTAGCCTGAATGGAGGCATGGCAGTGGGAATATGCTCAGGTGTGGATGGGAAGGAGACAAGGCAGAGGGTATCTTGTGAGAGAAGAACCCGAAAAGGATGTCACTGAGCTGCCTAAGAGAAGCTTGGCTTATTGGGTTACTCGGTATATCCACTGCTTGAGGGGCCTCTGAATGCTCACAAATAACACAGCAGCCCCTGGAAGAAGATAAAAACAAATTTTATGGGACATACCTGACTGGTCCCTGGGTTTGAATCCAAGCCTGGGGGGATCAATTTAAAAAGACATAGAAGGGAAAGAAATACACACATACAGATGCTGGCATCTGGCAATTCCTCATGGAAATGAATTCTGTGTGGGAGCATGGAAAGCAATGACTTGGTGTAGCCATCTGATTTCTCAGAGTTTATATATGATCTTCAGCATATATGTGAATCAGCCTTCACACGGAATTATTATTTTAAATCACCCTGATGCTGTGACACTGGCATAAATCTTTGTATATAAATATAAATATTAATATATATTTATATATAGACAGAGGCATACACAATGGTGTGCGCTATGTTCTCTTTAAACTCATGCAAAGCAGTTCTGGGCTTTAAAAAAGATAAGAGTGAGGGGAGAGGGAGCAGCAGAAGTCCAAGATCAGGTGCTTGCTGTTGACCTAGCAGTCTGCATGTTAAAGTGCAAGGTGTTCAGGACTTGCTGGGATTACAGCGCAGGACCTGGGTCCTCTGGCTGCTTGGGTTTGAATTAAGAGTGAACGGTGCCCTCCTGTTATCTCTATGAGGGGAGCTGTGTCTCCTTCTCTCCTTCGCACTCTTAAAATGAATCGGGCATGAAATGTACCCAGGAAAACTTTCTTCCCCAGACATAATGGGGCAGAAAAGAATAATAGGACTTGAAAGAAAGAAGCCACAGATTCTCCTTGGCTGGGTTCCAAGTGCTGTGTAGTTGGAGCCAATCGAACCGCTTGCTTTAGTAGCCAGATATCTCCGCTTTTTTTGGCTGTAGGATGTGTTTTGATCCAATGGACACAATGGTGTAGGAAGCTTTTTCAAGGGTCAGTGCTTACTCACTAGAGCTGCCTTGTTCCTTGGACATGCCGGGCGCATCTGCAGCCCTGGTGAGTCACTTGGTGAGTCATTTGACTCTTTGTTGAGTGCTGGGGCTGGGGCAGGAGGACAAGGCTGCAGCTAGCAGGGTCCTCGGTACAGTGACTCACTATTCATTCACTCTGGGACTTGGCAAATGCAGTGGTGGGAGTTTGCAGTTTGTGAGTGGGTTACAGACCAGGCATATAGCAGAAAGACGATGTTCCAAATGATATTTTTCAAGACAGCAGCCAAGAGACCAATGGAAACCAGGATGCCTACAGCATTAGGAATCTCTGGGCTACCATCAGAGGATACTTGCAGAGGCACAAAAGGGTTCCATGGTGCTGCAAAGAATATCGGAGAGGAGCAGGGGTGTCATGTGAGCAAGGAACAACAGGAGGTAGGAGAAGAAAGACATTAGGAGGGATGGAGCAGTGGAGGGTTAGACCCTGTCTCCTGAGCAGTGTTTCTATGCAGTTGCCCTTGGAGAGTGCTTACAGTGGCGCACATGGACTTGAACCATTACCAGCTATATAACCATCTGTAAATGGTCAAAATAACTTCATATATCACAGGGATGGGGTATGGACTAAATGAAATAGTACACGAGAAGCATTTGGATGACTAAGTAAGAACTTAGTCAATGCGGGCTGCTGTTGTAGCCTAAAGTTCTTCTGGTTACTCTTACGAAGACTAACATTGGCCTCTCTTGTCTGCAGGATATGTTCTGGTCTCCCTAACTTACCATTCAAAGCCTTTTCCAAGTTGCCCTCAACATTTTCATCCAAACATATCTGGATAAGCCAGGCTTATTCATATCTTGTCCCTGCATATCTCACCTCTTTGTCCTATGTTGTTCCCTTTGTGAGTAATGCTTGTCCTATAGTTGTCAGTTTGAATGCAGCCATTCCTTCTGATCCCAAGGGAATCTCCACAAGGTCTGAAAAGCGTCCCTGATTGGCTGCTGAGCCTCCTTCCTCGGCATCCTTTTATCACCAGCTGCCTCATGCATCTCTCATGATTGTAGTCAGAGTCAGGTTGCATCATCTGCTCTTTGAGAGCCAGGACTAGACTTTGCACTTCTGTGTATCCAACACAGGCAGTGATCCGCATATGCTGGGTCAAGTGGTTCAGCTGACTTTTTCTCCAGGCAAAATGGGGTATGAATCCCAGTCCATTCTACTATTTAGAGGGCATGCGATTTCCAGCAGATCACTTAATCTTCCTGAGCCTCAGTGTCCTCTCCTGTAAAATGGGGACATTAATATCTGCTTTGCAGAATGTATGGGGGGAGTAGAGGTGATATGTGGAGCATTCACCTGGTCTGTAGCAGGTGCTCAATAAATGGTAGGTGCTCTTATTACTGTTACTGTTCTAATGAACTGATGTTTCTGTATTCAGTGGTGCTAAGTAATTTCTTTTCTCTGCAGTTATACAGCTCCGCTGAGTTTGGGAGAAGGTGGCAGCTTATCCAGGAAGGGGTTGTACCCAACAGGTTCTACTGGTGAGTCTCGTTTTATTTTGGACCGTATTAAGATGTCACCTAGTAAACAAGCACTGGATTCTTTTTCTCACGCGGAGCTCTCACATGAGGTCTGTTCTGGTTGGGATAGGCCCACAGTCCCCTCGGGCAGGACCTGGCACTGGTGTAGTAAACATGTTAAGGGGATATTAGAGATGTATCACAGATTACTTAATAAACCCCAGAAAGATGACTGAGATTAGTGAGCAGCAGGGGCTTTGGAACTGGTGTTTGGATGAGACTTGTGAGGCAGACACTTAACATTTTAATAGTGACATTTATTACTGAAACCATTATGCACGCATTTTTTTTACATATTCAAATAAAGCTTTTCATTGTAAATAAGTAGGTCTTGTTTAGTCTAAAAGCGGATCTTCCTCCCACTCCTGATTCCAAGGTTTCTAGACCTTCTCCTTATCATATGGGAAGCAACCAATATTCTTAATTACTTACTTACTTACCCTTCCAGAATGTTCCATGAATTACCAAATATATTCTTAGCTCAAGCTGCTTTCACAAAAAGACGTCGACTGGGGAGCTTAAACAACACATTGATTTCTCAGAGTTCTAAAGGCTGGGAAGTTCAAGATCAAAGTGCCGACATATTTTCTTCCTGGTGAAGGCTGGAATGTTTCAGAGAATATGGCAGGATACTGCAGAGGGTGCCTTGGTTCTGTGTCCTCACAGGATGGAAAAAAAGGAGGGAGCACTATGGTCTCTCTTCCTCTCTTTATAAAGGCACTGATTCCATCAAGAGATTTCACACTCATGACCTCATCTAAACCTATTTATCACCCCCCAAAAAACCTCATCTCCTGGTACTATCACTTAGGGGATTAGGGCTTCTACATATGAATTTGCGGGAGACAAAAACATTTAGCCCATAAATTTGCATTGACATAAATGTTAGCTTACACACCCTGTTCTGTGCCTTTTTCTTTGTTCGTGTGAGGGGATGCAGTTAACAATACATGTCATCATTTTTTTTAATAGTTAAGTATCATTTTCCTCTAAGGATATAGATTGGAGTTAAAGTCTAGGCTTATTTAATGAACAAAAATAGACTGTGTATATTGGTGGATAAGTGCAAGGGGAAAGAGAAATATGTGAGAGAGAGAAGATAAGGGGAAGGGAGGAGAGAGACAGACAGCAAATGAAAAAGAGGCAGAGAAAGTAACATATGTATTGTTAAACCACCTGAGCCCATCTTCCTGATTAAACTAGAGATGACTTCCCTCCATGGCCATGGCGACTACAGGTGACAAGAAGGAGAATAGCACAAGCTCCTTCGGCTTTTGTGTTTCTATGACCTAGAAACACAAAGTAACAACAAAGTATGCAACATTCTAGTGTAATTTGACATTACATGACAAACCCTTGGGAGTTTACGTCCTAACCCTGCCATAAGATGCGGCTCCTTACCCGGATATATTAATCTGCCCATGGAAAAGCCACTGAGGCTGTTTCAGACGTTTGCTGCTATAAACTGGGCTATAAAGCACTAGCCCAGAGCAGATTGTCAGTATGCCTTGTTACGTCATTCATAATCACAGGGGCAATGACCTTTCCGGAGCCAAGGAGCTTCCTGCGAATAGGACAGTGACAGGTGTCTCCCTTCATGCCTCCTGAAATCACACTGCCTCCCATCAGCCTCTGGACTTGCATGCACTTCGAGGAGGAATGCATTTTTCTGTTTCTCATTTTCAAACAGGGCCCTAAAACCCCCGTGGGAGTTGAAAGCCAGAGACGTGCATTAGAGAAATCTCTTAAAATGCGTGTGAAACTGCCTGAAAAAGTGAAAGGCAAGCCATTTATAAATAAACTGGTCAAAGATAACACATAGAGACTTCTATGTGGAATATCTTTTTTTTTTCCCCATCATAAAAATACAGTTATAGTCCAGCCAGCATGGCTCTAACTGTGGTTCAGCATCGACCTATGAACCAGGAAGTCATGGTTCGATTCCTGGTCAGGGCAGATGCCAGGGTTGCGGGCTCAATCCCCAGTGTGGGGTGTGCAGGAGGCAGCCGATCAATGATTATCTCTCATCATTGATGTAGCTATCTCTCTCTTCTTCTCCCTTCCTCTCTGAAATCAATAAAAATATATTTAAGAAAGACATTTTTAACTGAAGAAGGTTTTTGTGCCTAGAGGTCATCTCCCTCTTCTTGCTCAGGAGTGACATGAGAGTTGTTTTGGAGTCCACATGGGCCTCTCCCTTCTCCAGGAACTCAGCCCTAGCGATCCCCGAGTCTCCCTCCTCTGATCCGCACTTCTCTTTGCCTCTTGCTCTTTGTGCCCCTTATTCCTGAGACACTGCACCTCTGTGTGTTTTGCCTGGAAATTATAAAGTCATTTTGGGAAAGGGTGGCCATGGCTTTTTGTTTGTTTAGTTTCTCTTTCACTTGGTGTTGTATGTGCACAGAATGGCCTTGGAAAATAAGTGAAGGCCTACATGACTGTGGTCCTATTCTAACCTAGAAATGGAGTTGGTGCTTTGCCAATGAGAAGGTGTGAGGGACAAACCTTTCCTCAGGTCCCCCTTCCAAAGTACTGAAAATATCTCCACGTGAACCCAGCACTAGAAGGCAGAAAGTTACAATTCATAGAGCACTGAATGGAAGTGTATTCCTACCCAGAGGGACAAAGAAAAGCACTGACTAAAAAATTGGACAAGGCAAAAGGACAGAGATGAGAATATTTCCCATGTAGGTGGCACATGGTACACAATATTCCATGGCTCACTGAAGGTCTTGTTTCCACACAGCATCCTGAGGTGAATGGGCCCCCTCATTGCTTCAGCGGGTGCTAATTGCAATCCATTCTTGTCTATTCTTTGAATGAGGGTCTTCTATCTGAAAGCCTGGTTATCTATGGAAGCCCTTGTAACCAAATGTCATAATGGGACCATCTTTATAAAAACTTTACACATGGTGGTGTAAGAATTCTAATCCATCTGTCTGCTAAGTAAAATAAACAGCACCCCTCCCTCTGCCTTGGGAAACAGAAAGGTACATCTTCCCCATTTAAGCCCTAACAGTGTGATCAGCTTTATGCAAAGCTATTTAATCTTCATAACAATTTTATGAAGTAATATTTGCATTATCATCATTAAGAGATGGGGAACCTTTGGCATGAAGAGGTTAAGTAATTTAGCCAAGGTTTCACAGCTAGAAAGTGACACAGCCAGGATTCAAATACAGCTTGTCTGTCTCCAATATCTATGCCCTACCAATTCAATGCACTCTGTAGCCTCTGCCTGTTGGCCTTCTCTTCTGGCCTGGGGCAGTGAGCCCTAGAAATCAGGCCCATTCAGGCAGATGAGTAGAGAAAACCCAAGGCTCTTTTGACCACCATGCCTGCAAGTGTATCTCTCCGGCTGGTCTTGGCAAATGGACCCTGGGGGTTCTTTAAGCTCGGTTGTTTTTGTCCAGAGAGGGCATGAGACCTGGTGAATTGCACAGTGCATAAGACAATTAATGAAAAACTCTTGGTCTCTGTCCACATGGTCTGTATTTTCTGACTCTGTTCAACTTTCTGGACTGGCAGACAAGGTGTCAATCAAAGCAATATATGTTAGACCTATTGCTGGAAACCAGTTAATTCAAATTACATAGGAACTTTGGGGATGTCTGGGATTATTCAGAAGGTGTAATGCAAAGAAGCTCCTTTAATAATTTCAGCTTGGAGCCTGGTTGTGGGGGTGTGGAAGGGACTCAAGGAAACTTTCTAGTGCTAAATTGAGTTGTCACCCTGAGTAGTAACATAGCATTTCCCATAGAGAAAAATGAAGATCAATGGATGTATTTTCCTCATCAATTAGTACATTTGAGATATATCTTTATTTTGGGTGGCATTACTATTGCCTGAAAGTAGTCATTGGCAATTATAAAATAATTATAGAATATAAAAGCTTATTCTTATACTATCTCAGTGGTTGCTGTTAGTACTACCATAGCTAACATAAATGTAAGTATTCCTCTAAGAAGTACAAATTGCTTCCAAAACCAAGTTACATATATAGGGTATATTATAAAACACAATATCACCCTTCAGAAATCAGATATATTGGGAGGCAGTACAGACCAGAGGTTAGGGGGCTCAGAGATAGGAAGTGTGAGTTCCAGCTTTGCCATTTGCTAAGTAACGGATCACCGGGTAGTTCCTTAATCTCTGTGTGCCTCAGTTTTGATCTCTGTGAAGTGGGGACAATACCTATGTCATTAAACTAGATGTTTCTTGTAAATTTATCCAACATAATGCATAATATGTAATACAGTCAAGTTTTGGAACTTGGTCTGTCTGGGTTCATGGCTCTTGTTTTCAGTAGCAAAGATCAGCCCCAAATTCAAGACCTAATTCCCACCAACATCCTCCAGTAATACCTGTTAGTATAACAGTTCAGTAGTTAAGGACCTCAAGTGTTGAATTTGACATTGAAGAGGAACATGGTATTGTAGCATCAGCAGTACTCAAATGCTGTGAATAAGCCCTAGCCAAAAGCCAAATTTGCTATTAGAACTTGATGAATGTGGTTTGTTGGGATCTAATTCAAGTTTAGGTCAGTGCAACAGAAGACAGTTTCAATTATAACCCACTCAGCAATCTATCATCTATGCAAAAGACAAGGCAATCTTAGGGCTGCTTCGCTTAATTAAAAGTAGGTTCAGACTTACCTTATTGATTATATTTCTCTGACATATAGGGGGCTGACTGGAAACAGGGGCAGATGTCTGGTGATTACATATTTTCTGTGACTAATTCACACATGGAAAACTAAGAGTTGGCTCAACAATGAACCTCTGTTATTCTAGAACACCAGCCTTGTTCCAGTGATGTCCCTCAGAGGACATATGACAGTGGTATTACATAGCAGAGAGATAACTCCATCCTTAATATGTTTGAACATGTGTACACACCCTCATTCTTCCTCATGGCCCAGTGCCATTTATGCGAATGGATTCCCATGCCATGTCTTTTGC